TTCCACCACCCAGGAGAGGAAAGTGCCAAGCCTCGTGGCGGACTTTTCCTCACTTTGCTAAGTTGGGTCAGGTTCAACAAATGCTACTTTGGGTCTCAGTAAGAAAAAGCCCATCAAATTCAACTATTATGAGACCCGAGAGACAGTCATAATCAGAGGGGGGTGATTTTTATATGCCTGGGATGATGCCAGGCCTAAAAGATGGCAGCTATCATGTCTTCTCTCTGGGGAGCACCAGAGAGGTAAGGTGACTTGCCCGAGGTCACACAGCCGGTGGGTTGCAGGTTTCCAACATCCCGCCTCATGTCCTTTGTACATCACCCAGGCTGCCTCAAGTTTATGTTCCCAGGACCAAAAAAGCAGGAAGATTGTTGAATTGTTCTTAGAATCAGCTGGAAATAAGAAACGATGCATAAAAGCACCCTGGGTCCTCTTGCCTTGACCTGGAGTTGCCGAAGCTGTTGTTCACAGGAGGGTTTCAATTTCCCTTGCCCGGAGCATTTCTGTCATAGGGACAGAAATCCTGGGATAAGGACAGCCAAGAATGGACCTACGCTCACCTGGTTCACTAGACTCTCCCTACACAGGCTGCCAAGGCCCAAGGCCCTAGCCCATCTCCACGAAAGTCCAAACACCCCCCACCGTGAGGGCCTGATCAGAAAGCTGAGCTGATCGCCATCCTTCCCTTGGCCCATCTCCCACCCCACAGCTTCCTTTTGAAGAAATACAACCCTCTTTGTCCTGCTTGTCAAGCTCCCTCTTCAATAGAGCCGCAGAAGCATTGAAATGGGTCGGCTGTTGAGTCCCCAAGAAATGCCAGTGCCCCTCCCCCAAACTCGAGGGCCAGCAGAGGTGGAGAATAGCTAGCTCAGTGGACAGAAAGCAGGCCCAGAGCTGTTGCCGTTGATTCCAACAGCATCCCAGCCCCTTCAAGCCTCTCTGTCCCATACCTGAGATGGTTGGCCTGTTGAGGGCAGTGGGGTCCCCTGAAGAACTAGCATTTGTTGAAAGACTATTGCCCACTATACACTCTGCTCTGGGTGCTGTGCTGAGCTAAACATGCCCTATCCCCTCCTTTACAGAGCACAATTCTGAGAGGTGTGTGTCAATCCCATTTGACAGATGAGGAAATGGAAGTTTGGAGTGAAGGTGCTACGCAGGTAACCCAGCTGCTGAGTGGCAGGGCCAGAATTCCCCACTGAGAGCCACCGGATCCAGAGGTTGTCTTTGTGTTGACTTTCCCTGTTTGTGATATTTCCTCCTCCATCCAGATCTTCTGTATCCAGATCCTTGTATCCTTGATACAGTGTGCCCAACTGGCGGGGGGGGGGGGGGGGGGAGGGCAGGAGTGTCTGCTTCTTACCCTCATCCTCCTCCTTGGCTGGGACCTGCGCCCTGAGTGGCTGAGCTGCATGCAGACTCAAATTGTCAATCTCCTACTCTCGCTACCCAGATAATATATCCTTTTCTTCATTAAGCCCAGCTGAAGCTCAGCTCTACCTGCCTGTCAATCTCCCTCTTCAATAGAGCCACAGAAGCATTAGTATTAGTATTAGTATTACTATTAGTAATATTAGTATTACTTAGTCTCTGCAAACAGCATCCCCAAATTCACCCAGTACCTAAGTATAATGGGCATAAGTGGGGAACCGACTATAAGCTCCCCAAGTGGGCCATTTCAGAACCCCACAGTGAAGAAGGGTAAGTGCAGCATGAAAACGGTATAGCTTATATTATCATTGTTTTGACTTGGGGGGCGGGTGTCATCATAATGTATTACAAAATTTTGAACAGCATTCGGAGCATAGCATGGAACTGTAATATTTCTCAAAAGTGGGCATGGGTTCTTCAAAGGTTGTGAAACACTCGTCTCCACTGGTAAGGGAATAGATTTTTCCCACGCTTTTTAAATGTTTTTTTTCATGTGCTTGTCATATCCCCCTTAACTAGACTACAGCAGTCATGGAGGGTGGTGATCGATGACGAGTTCTTTCTCCTTCGTGTTTTTCTCCCTGGTCTTCACCCCATGGACAGTCTATAAACAGGTTACCCAAACTATTGTCTAACATGGTTTGTTTTTCATCCCCAGGGGACTTTTTTTTTCTGTCCAGTCCAATCTAGCCAACCTAAATAAAAGGCTGAATGATCTGGGTTGGTTTTCAAACAAAAATAGGTTATTTGCAAGAGGAGAGAGGAGACTGATGGAACAGAGAACAGCGCAATAAAACATCCCTAATTGGAACCTACCATCTCGGGGGGGCTGGGCTAGAAGTTAGCCTTTGAACTCGTCACTGAAAAATTATTTTCTTTAGTTACTTCACAGCAGTGACAAAACTGCTCTGGAACGTTTAATCTTCCTAAGAACACAAACGAGTGCCAGCCCCCTAAAGCACATCAAACGGAAAGGAGCATTGTTTAAGAGCCTACTACGCTCCAGGTTGCAGTCACACGTGATTTCAGAATCAACTCAACTCAGACAACCAATGAGCTGTTCTTATTTCCATCAAAGCGAGATTTCCTTTTAGGCAGTACCTTTAATAGTCTAATTCTAGATATTGTCTAGGCTTGAAAGTTTAAGAGAACGTTTTCAGCTGAAACTGGCCAAACTTCCCAACTGCTGAGGTTTTGCAGAAAGACTGTGAAACAATGTGTTTTCTTTCGTAGACAGATGACAAACTTCTGGAGGGTGGAGGACAGCACAGGTTGAGAGGAAAAACTAGATCCTGGGGGAGAGAAAGTAGAGTGTTTGACACTGTCACAAGGAGACCTCCTAACTCCACTCCATGGAATGCTGGTGAATACTTGAGTCATTCACTCCTAATCTCTCTTCTCCAGCCTTTTCCAGACTCCAATCACATCCACCACAAAGGAAAATGAGTTTGAGTTTTGAAGCTCGGATTCTGTTCTTCATCCAAGGGAAAATTAACCAGAAGTGTCACTCCAATATCCGTCTCCCAGGAGAGAAACTGCTTCTAGAAGGGAAAGCATCATGCAAGGTTTATTTAGAATCACAGAAAGGCAGGACCGATGAGAGTAATGTAGTTGTCACTAATGCAGAAAGTAAGGGATATGATGCCACAAAAGTGACTTGTCTAAGAGTCGCATAGTTACATCAGGCTGGAGCCTAGCCAGGACTCAGGTCCTCTTACTACCAGTTCACCTTTGAAGTTTCTGGTCTGCACTCTTGCCCATTGAGGCCGATTTAGTGCAGTACTATTCATGTGACATTTGAGGGGCTCGGGGAGTAATCTCAGGAAGTTGGCTTACACTGAGGGCCTGGCGAGCTTTGAGAGAACAGCCGGCACCAGGATAGACACGCACGCACTGACGCGGACACAGAAGCAGAAACTGAGCTGGTCAGATGCATAGCCCGCAAACCCACCTCGCAGGGCCACCCCCGCCAGCGCCAGGTGCAGGACTTGCCCCATGCCAGCAGAGGGCGCGCCGCCCCCAGGGAGCCGAGCGGCGGCCGCGCTGAGCCCGGCGTGTTAGGGGAGCTGCAGGCGAGCAGGACGCGCCCGTACAGTTCGGCCATTCAGGGTGCAGGACCCGGCCAAGGAGGAGGAGGAGGGTGAGGAGCGGACCCCCCTCGTAGGCCTGGGTAACAGACGGGCAGGAGTGCTTCCTAGGAATTACATCACGCTGCGCAACACTGCGGCTCCCTGACTCCCCCAGCGCAAAATGTGTGTGTGTGTGAGGGGGAGGGGGAGGGCGAGGGCGGGGTGGTGGTGGTAGTGGGGTGTGTGTGTGTGTGTGTGTGTGTGTGTGTGTGTGTGTGTGCTGGGGGAGGGGAGTTAGAACGAGCCCGGGAGAGAGGAAAGCGAGACGCGCCGGGGTAAAAAGCTCCGGGCACATGGAGAAATCCTTTGCACCGAACTGCACCGAGAAACGAGCCCCCAGCACCTCCCCGCCCACCGCAAAGCGCCCAGCTAGTGAGAACCCTCCGAGTACCCCCTAAAACCGGCCCTGCACCCTCCAGCCCAGCTCCAGCGCGGCCGTGAGCTTTTCCTAGGACTGGCCCTGGCGGGGCGCCTAGAGCCCCAGTTGCATTGCTCCAGGAGAAAGGAGGGGGGCGGTGCATTTGCAGGAGGAGGAGAAGGGGGGTGGGTGGTGGGGGAGAGAGAAAATTGCGCGGAGACCTGCCAAGCGCCACCGCCGCCGCCACCGCCGCTGCCGCCGCCGCCGCTGCCGCCGTCGCCGCCGCCGCCGCCGCCGCCTGTGAGCTCCGGCGGGCAGCCGGGCTGTCGGCTTCCCGGGACATCTGGGTCCAGCGGGGCACAGCCCTGGGCGCTGCCGGAGCCGCCGCCACCGCCTCCGACGCGAGTGCAGGCGGCTTCCCCGGGAGCTTGTGCCGCTCCAGCTCCTCGGGGGTGGAGAAGTGGGGGGTGGGGTTGTTGTTGGGGGGGAAGAAGGGGGAGGGGGCAACGCCGAGAGAGTCAGTGGTTTCCATGGTGATGGAGCTGAAAGTGCAGGAAATTTAAAGGCTTGGACCCAGCGAGACAGACAAACCGGTGCCAACGTGCGCGGACGCCGCCGCCGCCGCCGCCGCTGGAGTCCGCCGGGCAGAGCCGGCCGCGGAGCCCGGAGCAGACGGAGGGAAGTGCCCCAGGACCCGCTCGGCCAGCGGCGCTGCACAGAGCAGCAGAGCGAGGAGCAGCAAGAGGAGGAGGAGGAGGGGAGAGCGGCTCGTCCACGCGCCCAGCGCCGCCGCCGGCTCGGGGAAGCAGCGAGGAGCCGGCGCCCCCTGCGCCTGCGGTCGCCCTGGAGTAATTTCGGATGCCCCGCCGCGGCCGCCTTCCCGAATAGACCCGGGAGAGGAGTTGCGGCCAACTTGTGTGCCTTTTTTCCGCCCGGGTGGGAGCCGGCGCTGCGCGAAGGGCTCTCCCGGCGACTCATGCTGCCGGCCCTGCGCCTGCCCAGCCTCGGGTGAGCGGCCGCCGGAGAGACGGGGGAGCGCGGCGCCGCCGCGGGCTCGGCGTGCTCTCCTCCGGGGACGCGGAACGAAGCAGCAGCCCCGGGCGCACGCCGGAGGCATGGAGCGCTGCCCCAGCCTGGGGGTCACCCTCTACGCCCTGGTGGTGGTCCTGGGGCTGCGGGCGGCACCGGCCGGCGGCCAGCACTATCTCCACATCCGCCCGGCCCCCAGCGACAACCTGCCCCTGGTGGACCTCATCGAACACCCGGACCCTATCTTTGACCCCAAGGAGAAGGATCTGAACGAGACGCTGCTGCGCTCGCTGCTTGGGGGCCACTACGACCCAGGCTTCATGGCCACTTCGCCCCCCGAGGACCGGCCCGGCGGAGGCGGGGGGTCGGCCGGGAGTGCCGAGGACCTGGCCGAGCTGGACCAGCTGCTACGGCAGCGGCCGTCGGGGGCCATGCCGAGCGAGATCAAAGGGCTGGAGTTCTCTGAGGGCTTGGCCCCGGGCAAGAAGCAGCGCCTGAGCAAGAAGCTGCGGAGGAAGTTACAGATGTGGCTGTGGTCGCAGACCTTCTGCCCGGTGCTGTACGCGTGGAACGACCTGGGCAGCCGCTTTTGGCCGCGCTACGTGAAGGTGGGCAGCTGCTTCAGTAAGCGCTCGTGCTCCGTGCCCGAGGGCATGGTGTGCAAGCCGTCCAAGTCCGTGCACCTCACAGTGCTGCGGTGGCGCTGTCAGCGGCGCGGGGGCCAGCGCTGCGGCTGGATTCCCATCCAGTACCCCATCATTTCCGAGTGCAAGTGCTCGTGCTAGGACTCGGGGCCCCCTGCCCGCACCCGGACACTTGATCGATCCTCACCGACGCCCCCCGCACCGTTTCCAACCGGTTCCACCACCCTCTCGCGAGGGGGATTCAATGAACTTTTTTTTTTTTTTTTTTTTTTTTTGGCTACAGAGACCTAGCTTTCTGGTTCATGTAATGCACTGTTTAACTGTGTAGGAATGTATATCTGTGTGTATATACGGTCCCAGTTTTAATTTACTTATTAAAAGGTCAGTATTATACGTTAAAAGTTACCGGCTTCTACTGTATTTTTAAAAAAAAATAAGCAAAAGGAAAAAAAAGAACAGAGAAAAGAGAGACTTATTCTGGTTGTTGCTAATAATGTTAACCTGCTATTTATATTCCAGGGCCCTTCGCATGGCGAAGCAGGGGGGAAAAGTTATTTTTTTTTCTTAAAGTACAAAGAGAGGGGAGAAGTTTTGTAGAAGGACTTTTAAAAAGCTATTTTCCATTCTTCGGAAAGTGTTTTTGGTTTTCCTTGGACCTCGAAGAAGTATAGAGTTCAATGTTATTTTACAGTTATTGTAAATATAGAGAACAAATGGAATGACTAATCATTGTAAATTAAGAGTATCTGCTATTTATTCTTTATAATATCCCGTGTAGTAAATGAGAAAGAAGTGCAGAGCAGGATTAAAGAAAACCACTAAAATCGACTGGCTCCACACTGCGATTCTCTGTGTTGGTGATTGATGGGAGGGGTGGGGGGTAAGGGGGGGCGGGCAGGGGGTGCCGCTGTGCTTATTACGGCTGTTAGGAGAAGGGGCTCGTCCCCTCTTCGGGTGTGATGGAGGTGACCACGCAATTTTTCATGGTGGGGGGGGGGATTCTCAACCCCTCACTTGAGCATCACGTGGCCTCCGCCCAGTCGCCCAGCTTTTTCTCCCGATATCACCAAAGCCTGGGCCTGTCGTGACCTCGACACCCAGCCGGCCCCCTGGAGCTGACCCCAGGCTGGGCCGAGGGAGGGGGGAGGGTGGGCGGCCGCTTTGTCCTGCCTGACAGGCCCTTCACAATGGGGACACGTGTCTTTCACACCTACCCTAGGGGCGGAGTGCCGCTGAAACTTGACCCCCGAGGAATGGGGGGGGAGAGATCAGAGCGCGCCCACCCAGATCCCGCCACCCCTCCTGCCTCCCACCCCCCCCCCCTCAATATTCAGCCCTTATTAACCCTTTGCACGCCCGGAAATTACGCTGGTAATTCCAAGCTGAGGCTATCCCTTGGAATCAACACTCACAGCCTCCGGGATCCTGCCAGTCTGAGCCCCACCACACCCACCCCCCACCCCCAAATCCCAGGCCCTCAGCCTTAATGTCTGGGAGATTTGACACTCACCTCCCTTCTCCCCCTCCAATACCTAAGGAAGACTCTGAGGGTCAGGGTTTCAGAGGGTCCGAATTGGATTGAGAAAAAAAAAAAAAACGCCATCACTAGGTTCTGCCGTGGGGCAAGGGGTGCACCCCCGCCCCCCCCCCCCCGCACCCCAGCTCTGGACACTTACTCCACCTGGGGGTGGGGAGGGAGGGGAAATCAGGATCCAGATCTTTGCGCTTCTGGGTTAGACAGGGGTTTGCCCTTCAAGGGACCTGCAAAACATCACCCCCACCCCACTCCTGAAAGAAAGCCAACTTCTCGGGGCGGGCGCTCGACTCGCGCGCGTCCCTCCGCCTCGGTCCGCGGCGGCGCCCATCCGCGCGGCTCCACGTGGGCGCTTCCTGACACTGCTCCGGGCTCTTTATTTATCTTGGACTCCAAAGTCGCTCTCCTTTGCTACTTCTCCCCCCTGACGCCCCCCCCCGTGCCCCCCCCCCGCCACCTCCCTGCCTCCCTCCGGGCGTCCCTCTTCTCCCCCCCCCCGCCCCTCTCCCCCCCCTCCCCCCGGAGTCACGGCGAATCTATGCTAATTATTTCAAACCTGCGCCCAGTCCCCAGCGCAGTTTCAATGCCCCCGGCCCCGCCCGCCGGGTCCCTCCAGCCGGGCGCTTTCTTCCCTCCCGAGGCAGCCTCGGTGGCTCCTCATTTCAATAGCCTGGCCCCGGAGCCCGAGCCCCCTCCCCGGCGCTGCCTCCGTCAGCCGTGGGACAGACGTTAGGGTATTCATTAACTGAGAGCCGAGGAATAACGGCATTATTCCCCCCAGAGAGGGCACCCTGCCCCCGCGACTATCTGAGGCTTCATTGTAAAAGGATTAAAAGTTAAAGACCTCCATCTTATGATTCTTTCATTTAATCTTCCTGGCGCCTGGGAGACATGCTCGATGGATGATGGCTTTTAAAATATTCCTAATGTCGGCTACCTTAAGACTCCAAGCCGGGCAAACAAACGTAATTTATTTCCAGAAGAAAGGGGATATTGAGATGTTTAAGTTTATGAACCGCCGTCCCCATGTATATTTGTTAAGGTCTGACAAATACCCAAATAACGTTAAAATCAGCCATTCATCACTTATGAATTTATGCAAAACTTTCTGTGCCCCGGGCCAATATTTTTTTAGACAGAGTTTCACTTTGCGAGAGGTGGAGGTGGTGAGGAGGAGGGAGGAGGAGGGGGCTTGTCGGGGCGGGGGGGGGGGGGTCGGGAGGGGGGAAAGCAAGAATTTTCATGCCTGGTAAACACGCGAATTATGCGAAGAGAGTTATTCCCAGCTGGGCGGGCAGCCAAAACTCCGCGAGCGCGCCGAGGCCAGCGCCCCCACCCCCACGTTGGCAATGTCATTGGATTACAATGCGAGGTCTTCCCCTCCGCGACGCCCCCTCCTCCCTCCGCCCGCCCGCCGGCCCGCGCCCCTCCTCCCCACCCCTGCCCACTAGGAAAACCCGCTCGCAGCCGGCCAGCTTCTCGGCTTTCAGAGCAGGAGCCGGTGTGAGCTAGGAGGACCGGCTGCAGAGGTGACCTGCAATAGACGGACCACCGGACAGACAGGCTCTAAGGCCAGGAGCGGAGCCACTCCAGACGGGGAGAGAGGACCCGGCAGGACCCAGGCAGTCCCAGGAGAGAGCCAAGGAGGTGCTGGTTCCCGAACACTGTGACTAAGGCACAGCCGGTTCCGTCTCTATCATTATTAATGTTGATAATACTAATAATAGCATCCACACGGAAAGGAGTGGAGAGCTCTGGGCAGAGAGGCAAGAACACTGTCCTTTGCGGTCACCTAGTGCCCATCTCCTGTAAGGAGGAAAATGGATCTGGGTGTCTTCTGAGGCTTTGCCAGCCTGTGTCCATGAATGTCTGCAGCTGCTGGGACCATGCCTCCCCGAGATGGAGATTTATAACTATTACTGGTGCAGACACATCAACCTTTTCGCAATCCCTGGAAGAGAGGAGCAAGGTGCCCATCTCCCCCGCCCTCCAGCCGTGACTGCAAGAATTCACTCATCAACCCTCTGTTTGTAACTCTTCCTTTTGTTCCTTCCTTCCGCTCTTCCCACACGCCCCACGCCTCATGCACAAAGCACACTGAGGCCAAATGTCCACGGAAAGCCAGCCCCCTGGGGGAGGGGAGTCTGGGAATGGGATCTGGTTCCCTGTTGAGATGGGGAAGGCCAGGGGTCCATTATCAGTCTTGCTGGTGAGACTCCTGGGAAAGAGGGTTGAAGTTTGGTGGCAGCTGCAGGAGGAGGCTGGCTGTGTATTAAGAGCTCTTAGCTGGGCTGGATGGGGACGGCAGGGGGAGGGCCCAGCCCATATTGGTATTTTGAAGGAGTGATTCATCCTTTTTCTTTAATGCTCTTGGAATGTCAGAGCTGGAGGGGAGCTTAGATTCCAATGCCCACCCCTCAGTTTACAGATGAGAAGACTGAGGCCTCACAAGGGATTTGCTGAGGGTCACGCTGATTCGTGTAGTGGTGGTTCTCTAAGGGGTCGCCACGGCGCCTCTCCACAGCTCACTTTTTCTTCGTTCTTTGTTTATCTTTGCATTATTGCTCTTCTTATTTTGGTCAGGGAGAGTGCTTTCCATAATTGACATAATGACAACTGATCATCAGGGAGTTGATCAACCGTTCTGCTATCCCTCTTCACAAGCCAGCTGTTAATGGTGCCTGTTATGCCAAGCACTGAGTAGGCCCTTTACACCCATTCTCATCCCAGGTCTCTAGTTTCCAAATAAGGGAGCTGGAGCTCAGAGGGTTTAAGCACCTTACCCAAAGCCACACAGTAAGTGATACAGTTATGATTCAAAATTGGAGCTAATACTACCGCCTCTGCTTTTTCTGTAGCTCTGTAAAGATCCGTGCTTGGGGAGCCACACAGAACATTTCTGTACACCCCATTACGTGCCAGGACCCCTCTCCCTCATGTCCCTCTGACTCCCCCCCCCCCATACACACACACACACACACACAAGGAGTTTGTAATGTAATGGAGGAGGTAAGAAATGAAGAGCAGGGCAAGTGGTGAAAGAGGAGATAAACAAACCTGGGCCAGATGGTGAGGGCTCACTGCTGGACTGGGCAGCCAGGAAAGGCATCTGACTAAAGTCGCAAAGAACAAGGTGAATGTCAGCCTACTGTGGTGGGGATGTGAGAGGAAAGGGCCTTTAGATGGAAAAAGCAGAATAGATAGAGACAGGATGTTGGATAAGAATCTGTGTCCTTGGGAAACAGCTCAAACAAACTGGACCATAGGATGGACCCAGGCCTAATAGATAACCAGAACAATGCTCAAAAACTGTGGAATAAAGAAATAGTTCCTTTGCAGTAGTGCTCTAACGGTGTGCCTGCCCTCTTCAGAGCTCTCAATGGCTCCCTATTGCCTGAAATATAAAGTTTAGTGCCCTTAGTTGGCATTCAAGTTCCTCCATTGTTTGGCTTCAGCCTGCTTTTCAGATCTTACCGCCTGCTCTCACTTGGCTTGGGTCCATCCTATGTTAAAGTGTTTTTCTAATTTATCTTTATGGCTGAAAGTATTACAGATGTCCTCTTTCCCCCCCCCCCCCATTGATCCCCTCCATCCCATGCCCAGCCCCCAGGACCTATGACATTGCCTCAAAAGTCCCACAATATTGTCTCTACTGCAGTCTATTGGCTAAGCAAGTCTCTACGACCAGTCCAAACTCAAGGAGGGGGAATTAGACATCATCTCTCAGTGAGAGCAGCAAAGCATCAGGGGCCACCTTCAATCTACCACATGCACTTTCTATAGGCCAGACGCTGTCCTTTATACCCAGGACACAGAAATGAGCAGACACAGTCTTTTTCCATTTAAGTTTGGTGCCGGTGTCCAGGATGGATTGGAAATGGGATAGTGGCTACTGGGATATCAGGTGAGGAGGACCTTGCAGTGGTCCAGGAAGAGTCAGGAAGAGTGAATACTTGAGGAACATCAATGCCAATGAACGATCACTTGCCAGGAGACTGGAAAGGACTTGGTGATTGATGGGATGTGGGGGCTGAAGGAGAGGTCAGAAAGGTCCCTGATGTTTCAGGCATGTGAGGGACCATGCACAGAAGAGGAATCTCATACAAAAGAGCATCCTTCACCACCCGCTACTCCTTACACACACACACACACACACACACACACACACACACACACACACACACACGTTCCAGGCTTGCTTGTCCAGAAGAGGGGGATCTGAGAAGCCTGCAGAAAATTTTGATTTATAATTGAGATGGATGGACGGATGGATGGATGGATGGATGGATGGTAGAGACAGCAAAA